GGGTGAATCAGGAGCAGGCTGGCATTGCAGCCTCGCAGCACTGGGGCTCGGGGGTCCATTTCCTGACCTGGGCTGCTGTCTGTGTGGAGCTTGCATGTTTTCTCCTGGTTCACATGGGCTTCCTCTGGGTTGCTCCGGTTTTATCAGAAAAATCTGATAAATCCTGCCCACTCTTTGCTCGCCATCTTCTGGATTACTGATTTGCTCTTAAAGAGCCAGCTTTTAACAGTGTGAGTAGCATTATTACATGTCTGTATACCTCTCTTTAAAATGCAATTCGCATGTCTTGTCTCTGCTGAATCCCAGTGGAGCAAAGCCTGTTCCTTGTCCTCCTTGTCCTTTGATTTGAACTAAGCTTAACATTGAGAGTAGTGGGGCGGCCCGGCAGCGCAGTGGTTCGCCTTACAGCTTCGCAGCGCTGGAGAACCAGGTTCAGTTCCTGGGGTGGTGTCTGTGTGGAGCCTGTCTGCTCTCCCCGTGTTCGTATGGGTTTCCTGCAGGTGCTCCGGGGTCCTCAGATTGTCCAGCGACATGCCTGTCGTTTGTCTCCGGGGGTAAACTGGTCTTGGTGTGGGTGTGTGTGCCTGTCTGCCCACCTTCGTGCATTCTCTGGTGAAGCCCCGACTGGGAAACATGAGAAGCAGGACGTAATTAGTCTGTCATGCTTTCTCGTTCAACAACGAGTGCAAGTGATTGAGAGCGTACGAGAAGCTACAAACGAGAGAAGGCCATTTGAGCCATCTGTCCTGTTGGGTGGTTAGCAGCTAATTGACCCCAGGATCTTGTCAAGCTCTTTTTTGAGAGACACCATGGTGTCAGCTTCAACGACACGGCTGGGCAGTTTAATCCACACTCCCACCTCCCTCTGTGTAAAGAACGCACCTCCTGCTCACAGTTTTAACTGCACTCGGATCCATGGGGTGTCAACCGCCAAGCAGGCGAGATGGGCCGGATAGCCTCCTCTCATTTGTAACTGTTCTCATGTTCTTATTTGAAAATGTTGATGCTTTGCAGAAAGGAGCTAGCAGGCACGTATGGGGGTTGGGGGTCGTGTGTGTTGGCGAGGAGAAGTGCAGTTGTTTCAAAGCCCTTCTTGGAAGAATTGAGGTCTTGCAGTGGTTTATGTGGCCGTGCAGAACAACCAGACTTCCGAGCCCACCCACCCCACACACTTCTGCACTTGTGTCCAGAGCGTTTCCCCAGTGCTGTCTACCATGTTGCGGTCTGTCTGTCGCTGGCAATGGAAGGCTGTGTATCTAATGTAAACGGTGTGCTGTCAAAATCTGACCTGACCTTCTTTCTGCATGCCTTGGCGAGGTGCCTGGTTCATTGCCGGGGTTCATGTACATGTAGTGAGGTGGTAGGGTGTTACTGAGCCCTAAAAGCACAGTGCAGCTGACCAGCGTAAGAGACAATGAGGGGAAACCCCAATAAAGTGCAGGCTCAGTGACCACAGCCTGGCCATAGAAACTGGACACGGACAGACCTGTCTGTACAGAGAGGA